TGTGGCCCGGGGGCCACATGCGGCCCGCAGCCTATTTGTTTGCAGCCCATGGTGCAGTTTGGATTTACGTGAGGTTCAACATGCGGCCCACGAATGGGAGCCAAAACAAATATAATGGTCTTCTGTTGATATGCGTTTTCATAGTTAAATTCCTGGACTGTCATTGCTCATTAACAGTGCTGTCATATAGGTGGAAATTGGGTAAATCTTGCATTTTGTTAATATCAGCAGGACTGACTTAAATGAGGCCTGTGTGTTGTGTAGTCTTGCCTTGATCTTTGTGTAACCCTTCTGCCAGGTAGTGCCAGCAGCAGCTAGGACCCGGTTCAATATCTAGGAGTCCCTTTTCATTCATCTCACACAGAACTGGCTCAAGCCCCCATCCAATAGCCTGGGAAATTCACACACCCCTGGGCGCCTCTGAGAGGCAATGCTTCCCCACTTGCAAGCACAGAGTCTGACTGTAGAAAATAAACTTTTAATGAAAGAGGGAGAAAAGTTACATGGCATTAGCTCAGAAAAATACCACAAACATAGTTTCTAACCCCCCACAAATAACCGTCCCAGCTCAAATAGACTGAGCAGTGTTCTTTGCCCCTCAGGCTCACTAGTACAACAATGTAAGGGTTCCATTCATTTACCCAAATTTTCTCCATACCCCACTTCAAACGCCCCACTTACAGGTCTATCCAGTCAGTGCGGACCATAATACATCACCCTGATGATTCCACTCATTGAGCCTGAGGCAATGCCAGCTTTGTGCTGCTCCTGTGGTCTGCTGGCGCCACCTGCTACCGCTCCTACTGGCTGCCTGCCAGTCGCTCTGCTGGCCGCCCTCTGGGAGTTCCCGCCCGCCGCTCCACTGGTCGCCCGCCACTGCTCCCCCTCTGGTTGCTCCTGCCAGCTGCCTACCGCCGTTCCTACCAGCCACCTGCCAGTCGCTCCCACCAGCAATCTTGCTGGCTGCAATGGGTTTGGCTCAAGGCCAAACCAGTAACTTCAGCTCTTGGTGATTTCAACTCTTTAGCCACCTGCTAGGCTGGCAAAAGATTCCAGCTTCCACTGGACTAGCAAAAAGACTCCTAATGGAGCGTGATTTAGATCTGTCCTTAAAAAAAGGGGGGAAAAGGCAGGTTGAATCAGTCTTACAGCTCACACCTGGCAAGCATGAAGCAGGCCGGCTCAGGCCCTTTCCCCCCAACTCTGTTCACTCAACTCTGGAAGTGGGAGACTTGTTCATCTAAGACCTCTAACAATGATGGTGTGTCTACTGCAAGCACTGGTATCATATTTTACAGTTCTCACATTTAGGGGTAGCATGATTTGTGACCTCCACAACAGCCCAAATTAGTTACAATACATCACATTCCATTCTAACAACGGATCCTCCATCAGCCCTGGCTGAATTGGATTTACATAACCACACCTCAGATTCCTTCCCCATCCCGGCATGAGCTGTATTTACATCTCAACAGTTAATTATCTTGCAGCGCTAAACAATTTGGCTGTGTCTAGACTGGCCACTTTTTTCGGAAAACAAGCCTCTTAAAAACTTACCAGCTATCTACACTGGCCGCTTGAATTTCCGCAAAAGCACTGACAATCTCATGTAAGATTGTCACTGCTTTTGCGGAAATACTATGCTGCTCCCATTCAGGCAAAAGTCTTTTTCCGAAAAACTTTTGCACAAAAGGGCCAGTGTAGACAGCAGAAATTTATTTTCCACAAAAAAGCCCCGATCGCGAAAATGGCGACCAGGGCTTTTTTGCGGAAAAACGCGTCTAGATTGGCCACGGACACTTTTCCGCAAAAAGTGCTTTTGCAGAAAAGTGTCCTGCCAATCTAGACGCGCTTTTCCGAAAACGCTTTTAACTGAAAACTTTTCCGTTAAAAGCATTACTGGAAAATCATGCCAGTGTAGACGTAGCCTTTGAGTGCACATACCCACCCCCCCAGGGCAGCTCTCTCCTTTTAGCTGGCTGGTAGAAAGCAGTAATTCACCCCCTACTTACATCTGTATCCATGCCCCTCAGGGTGATAGAAGCTATTTGCATGTATATGCAACCACACTTAAGTTGTGGCCCCGCATGTGCTGTGAGTAGTATTGTGGCCCAGATTCCAAAGTTGAGAAACCCTGCTTTAGCATTAAGTGCTGGCCACGCCCCTCAAGTGGTGACTCGTCCCACGCCCGCTGGCCAATGGAAGCACTGTTTTCTTGTGAGCGTTGCTATTGGTGAAGCTTGTCGCTTCTAACGAACGCTAGGATTGGCTGCCACAGGGCTGTCTTCAAAAGGCGGCATCAGACAAAAGCC